TGACAGAGTAACATGAACTGACAGTTCAGAACCGAGGAACCTGTGCTGTTTCCTCAGTGGTAATATTTCCAATTTATGTATCTCCTTTAATCTAAAACCCGTTGCAATTACTTCTCAGATTAGAGTCTGAGTATGTCTTTAGTGTCACTTTATTTGCATCTCTATTAGGAACTATGACTATGTCTAGACACAGAGTAGGTATGCTCCACCACTTGTCCTCTGCCTCTGGTCTAGACTGATTCCACTTTGAACTATGTACCCCAGTTTCCTTATTTTCTTCCTTGAAAATCAGGGAGATGGAAATACGGGCTAACATGCATCCAGGTATTTTCACAACATGGAGTTAGTACACAGGCTGCATGCACAAGAGCACTCCCAAATTTTAGATTTATGTTTCCATGAAAGCATCACCATTGAGAGTGGCATCCACAGAATCTAAGGGTGCAAATTTAAAATATTAACTGTAAAGGCCTAAACAGCCTAAGTCCCAATTCCTTTGTATAAGGTCATTTTCTGTGTAACGATCTAAGAAGTATTCCTAGAGCTGCTTGAGTGAACACAGAACCTTTGCAGGCTAGGTGTTGTGCAAACACTTGGTAACAACTTAGAATTGAAATAAAGGTGGTGGTGTTCTCCATTCATCAGGAGCTGATGTTCCATCTCCAGGAACATGGAGGATTCCCTCAGAAATGTAGGATTTCCTTGCAAACATCATGGCCTCCATGATTTAATGCAGTCTCATTAAACCATGTTGCATAATGGAACCTCATATGCCAGTTCCTCTAATCTGAGCCTTTCAGGCTCTGAGCTCACCTGTGCTATAGGGAGATGCGCTTAATCACCTGTTCAATTACAAGAATGCCACTGTTGACTAGGGGTAAGTTGGTTGATTTTACAACTTTCATAACATGAGAAAGCAGGGAATTTGTGCATGCAAAATTTGTGCACTTGTGGATTACATGGATTTCTGAATTACGGTAAGTTTTCTTTATATAATTTTCTCTATATTTTCTTTCAGATTCCAGAAGATAAAGCTGGAACCTGTAAGCCATGGGCCATCAATACAGATTAATACTGCTTTCCTAAGTATCAGACAACAAGGTGACTCCTTCAGCAACTTACTGACTGAAAGCATTCCTGCAAGAAAGAAGTAGAACTGTAATACTTACACACACAGATATATACTTCTATCCATCTTTGCAGAACAAGATATAAGCACCAGTTCTATTGTCCTGCTAAGTAAGAGACCTCTCATTTTGAAACATGCAATTCTTTCTAAATCCAATTTTGTTCCATGCTACACTGGATTAGTTCTGGAGTTACCCCATGAACTTCAAAGAATTTGCGTGCAATTTCAAAAATACCTTCAAGAAAGAGCAAATCACAAATAGGACCATTTTGCCACTTCTACACAGAGTTGGAGAGTCACAACTGTTGTTATCCACTCTTTCTGTTCTGTGATTCTGTGAAAATCCCAAAGATCAGAATTAGACACTGACTAGTGATAGGGCAGTGTATCACATGTATTGGAGTAGAACAGAGATTCTGAAAGTACATACTGCCAACTGTTTTCTAGACACTGATACATGATTACTACCACAGTAATACTCTAGTATAGCTCTTTGCTTTCTGGCAGCTCATCTCAGGCCTGCTGTATCACTGGGTATCTCTGAACCACTATTGACTTTGATCTCTCTTAGAGCTGGAATATAATCACTGCTTTCACTGCACTGCCAGCACTCACTCCTCCTCTCCTTTGCCTTACCCACAGTTTTGCTCCTTCTTTCCAGCAAAAATGGCAAAGCAGGACATAGCTGATGCATTCATCTGTAGGTAAGGAGAGGGCACAAGGTGAGGGAGGTGTACTGGAGGTGGGAAGGGTTAAACAGCAGGACAGGTATCCAGTACCAGCTTTGGGTGAATTTTATAACAGAGGTGAGGATTTCTGGGATACCATGGATTAGTGAGCAAAAATACAGGGGGACAGACCACCACATCTGTAAATTTGCATAAATAAAGGTGAAAATCCTCCTTCTGAATGTGATCTCCCTTAGGGTATTTTTGAATGTGGTATTTTGGGGATTTAATTGGGCTGTTAACAGAATTTGCTGAAATATGTCTTTAGTAAAAGCAAACTTGTAAGGCACTGTCCTGCTATTTCATGACAGTGATCTATATCTGATACTGTTTCAAGGAAAACAGTATTGAAAATGGTATGAGATGAAATTTGGCTCCTACTGACACTAAGAATGACCAGTGTGCAAGCTTAGAGTTCAAAATGTGTGACTTGGTGAGCCTGGTGCTTTCTCATTAATCTGCTGCAGTAATGAATTTCACAGCAACAGACATACTGGAGAGGGGCTGTAGGCCTTGGTGGGTCTTACATACAGGTGACAGCAAGGGGGACACCTGGGACTGGATACCCTGTCTAAAGCCAGAGGGGATCCTTAGTGTGTGAGTGTGTGTGTATATATATATATGTACATTTTCCTCTAACGGACCTTCATTCTAATCCATCAGAGAGGGGAACAGGATGAGGACATTGGTGCTGTTTGTGTCTGTGTGAGTGCAGAGTGTTTCTGGCTGTGTTGATCTGTGTGGCCAACTGTATTTATATGTATATGTTTTACATGTTTGCATGTTTGCTCATTGAGAATACATGCTCAGCCTTGCTACTGGTTGGACCTTAGGCAGTGGAGCTGCATCAGCCTCACCTCAAGTGGGCATCGACCCCTAACACGTTCATCTAAAGAAATTCTATTTATTGTGACTGAGGCTCTCAGAAGCATGGAGGAGTCATCTTGTACAACTGAGATAAATTGTATTACACTTTCAGATGCAAGTACAAGCACTCGAGCTCCAGAAAGGACAGTGGTTTCATTTCCACATTCATGTGTCCATACATGGCAAGCATAGGCTTACTTTTTCCTTATTTTTAAAGCTTTCCATTTTTTATATACCCAGTGTATATCTGTCTTGCAGAATGAACAAGACATTTATTTTACAGCTTCCAAGTTTTACTCTAGTTTTAACCTGCAAGGGTAGTGTAACTAAGGGAACGCTGGGTTGGGTGATTGTGCAATGCCTGTAGTCCAGACAAGAAGAACCAGGGGAAGGTAAGCAGCCTCTCTGAAGATATGACCTTACTTTAGGATAACTGAATAAGACAGTGGGATCAAATGCAAGCTAACTGATTCTGCTTGGATGTAAGAATTTCACAGATTGTTCTTTTCCAAGCTTTAAATGTAATCTATCTCTTGTATGGATAGATAAGGAATACTTGTTTGCCTTCCTAAACATAGATACATTCAAGGATAGGGTTTTCAAAGAATATCTACTGAAAAAAAAAATTTACCAGAATTGGTGTGTTTCCTGGATTAGAAGTGGCTGATGCAAATCACCTAGAACATTGTATAAGAACACCAAAGGCCAACACTTCTTCCTTGCTTGCTTCTGAAAAATTACAATTTAGCCAAGAGGTGCGATGACCCCTCTGCTACACCTGACAAGATTCTGGCCGTGAAAAGATTCACAGCTGTGGAAGTGATTTGCTGGGATAAAAAAGAAATAGGGCTGGGGATGGCCTTAATTAGGAAGTCATGGTTGTGCAGGTGACCTCACTTTCCCCTTCCTAAGCACGGGGACTTGTTCTGTTTATACACCTGATAACTGGTCATTTCAAGAGCTTTAGTCAAAGGATCATTATACTTTCCACATGGTGGAAATTTGGCAGCTGTGTAAGGTCTAGAGGGAAGCTTGCAATCTCTTGGTGAGCTAGTGGTTTGCCTTTTGGGGGAGCAAAGAACTGAGTGGCAATTGCATCTGCTGCCCTGTATCAGCATACAGAGTATGTTGCATGTTGTTATATTCAGTTTGGTAGACATTTCCTGTTATGTGCTGCTGTGTGAATTTGGCAGTGTTTTTTAGACAGTAATTAAAGGACCTACACTAACATACTGGCTTTGTTTATGCTGTCTGACAGACTGCTCTAAAGCCTGAAGATAGGATGAGACTTGCTAGTGAAAGAAATGGTGTTTCAACTGCAGGAGAGAAGGCCTGCACTTCTGGAACTAAGCAACTTTGTTCTATGTCAGATATGAGTAGCTTATAACTGATAATTCTGTCTGTATGGACTGTAATACATGACATCTTTATAAGGTGATGTTATCATCAGGATCTGAGGAAAGAAGAAATTTTTACAACTGTAACAGCAAATGTAGGACCTAACAGCACAGCAGGTATGGTATTGACAAAGGTGTGAAATTAAACTTGTAAAGCCCCATGAGCTTTTAGAATTTCCCCACATAAGAAAAAGAGAGCTAGTAAACATACAGAAGCTCTGACAGCTACTGAGAGACAGGTTTATTTGGTGGAATGCACAAATGAAAACACATCAAATGTGCCTTTTGGAATAGAGTGCTCTTTTTATATGTATATATTTGTACAGAACCTAACAGAATGCTAATCAAGACGCTAATAAAAAACAGAAATTCTGGGCATAAATTTAACATACTAATAATTAATGCTTCCAATCCCTCTGACACACACATCAAGTAAATTGTATGAAACAGCTTGTCAAATTTGAAACTGCAATATCTAATCCATTTGAAAGTGAGACTAGGATCTGGGATAGCAGATTTTCTGACAGTTACTCTGTATTTAAATGAATAAGAGAAATAGCTTGACATAAGCTTTGTCTAAAGCTTATTTACAAGTCTGAATTTACTAAGTTCAATCAGTTATCAGCCCTTCTAAAACACAAGTCTACTTAGGCAGGAAGCCTTACAGCTCTTGATAAATAATCAAATGAACAGAAAAGAATGTATTAATTGGTATTTTCCCCTTCAAGTACCATGTTTCTGCTGCAGGCCCTGTGCCGTGGGGAAAATGGAGGCCGGGGAAGGGCAGGGGAGGAGGAGCGGTGCCGAGGGGGAGAGGCCGGGCGGGGAGCTGGCGAGGCGCCCTCCGGCAGCAGGGTGCGCAGGACGGGGGCCGGCGGGGCGGGCAGGCTCCGCACCTGGCGTCCTGAGGCGTGTTGCTGCTTCCTTGCAGGGTGTCTTTTATGAATAATCAAAAGCCGCAGAAGCCGACGCTATCAGGCCAGCGTTTTAAAACTAGAAAAAGAGGTAAGTGGTCTGCAGTGTGCATCTTGCCCCTGCCCGCTGTCAGCGCCGTGTGTGTGGCCCCCGGTTAAAACTCGGGTTTGGTCAATAAACAACCCAGTGCCTTTATCTGCTTCTCATTCATCTTCTAAACGAGACCACGCTAAATACAATGTCTTGAGGCTAACTCTAGGTGCTAGAATATTCTCTGTACTAATAGAAAATATTTGGCAGTAAGAACTGTACCTGAATTTACTGTGATAACCTTGGCTTAAGAGGCAGTCATTCTAGAACTGTACTGTGTTTAGCCTGAAAGCAGAAGTATCTAGTACCCCTGAGTTACAGGGGGACTCCAGCACAGGGTTGTTGCAGATCAATACCTACATCTAAGTGTCATCTAACTGAGTAGGAATTTCAGTGTTAGCGACTGGATAAAAGTTACATTGTCCCCTTAGCGCTATAAGAATCTGTGATTTAAATTAAGCTAACCCTAGAAAACAAACAAAACCCCACAAACCCATCCACCCCAACCAACCAACAAAACCCCAAAGTGTGGGATGTGCCTGTCTCTGTATGTACACAGTTACTCCCATAAGAAGAGTTAATGATTGAAGAAGTGTGATGAGTAATTTAGTATTTTGGTGGTGGTTTTCTAAGCCTGAAGAGGAAATGGGCACAGCTCTTAGAGTTTCTGTTTGATACTGTTTTACTAATATACCAGTAGTGTTCTACCTCAGACTGATAGCGTTAAGGATGCTGTACGTACTGAGCTAGTAATTAAGTTGTAGAGAAGTACATGTTGATTTACAGAACCGATTTCAGTGTTAAAGCATGTTGAGAAACTGCTGAAGTGAGAGCTGCGTTTAGTCTGCCCAGCAGAGGATGAAATGCTAGTGTCCTGGGGTTTTGTCTGTTTTTAAGCATTTAACCATAGTTTGGCTTCCAAGCAACTCTGCCGTAACAATGAGCTTCATGAATCTGTCCTGGGAAATAACCGATCCAGTGTTTCTAGACTTCTACCCAACTGTTACAAAGTGTTGATACTTGCATTAAGTATGAGGACACTAGTATGCCCCTTACAGAAGGGTTCCTAACAGCTGCTAACAAAACTGGCTAAGCTGTTGTAGACAGCACTCAAAGTAAGATCTGCAGCTGAGTTCTGTTTCTTTGGAAGCTTTTCGTCTCATGGTTTGCATAATCTAAGGATGAATTGAGATGAATAAAGTTGAAAACCCTCTTCCATTTAAGGCTACTGTTAGTTACACAGGTGGTTTTGTTGCATATTAACTATGCCCTGCCTATAGTGAAAACAAGGCTGTGATCAAATGATATGTATCTTCAGTGTGAAGAAGCATGTATTCTGCTTTAACAACAAAGGATGCTAAATGGATCTTTAATTACAGTCCATCATTTCATGTTTATTTAAGACTAAGCAGTTAGCTCAGATTTCTACATTTCACCCAGGCACTTGAGGAAAAGCAGTTGCTTCAGACTCATTTAGAGGAGGGGATTGTCTTTATAGGCGAAAAACAAGTATTGTCGGTTGGCTCGAATATGAAAATAGTATGCAGCTTTTTTTTTTTTTTTTTTTTTTTTTTTTTTTTTTTTAAATAGTGAGAGGTCCAAAGGGCTGAAATGGAACAGGAGTAATAGAGTCAAATGCACAAAACTGTAGGGGTATGTATTTTGAATTGCCTTCCAAGATTTAATTAAACCTCTGGTTTTTGAGCAAAAGAGTGATCTAAGTTCTTAACAGTGGTATAAGAATCAAACTGAAAAGTCAGATGGGCTTTATTAGAGCCAACTAATGATCATCACAAAGAACTGTTCTGAGTGAAAGTACAGTAAGAATTCAATCAGAGGTAACTAAGGAATGTTATAGCTTTTCACAGCCTTTCCTCCAGCCTTGACTGAATAGGAGAGTGAAAGCAGTAGAACTTCTTACTGCTATATTGGCCATTGAAATTAATTTTAGGCTACACTGTTAAGTCACTATTTGTGCTAGTTAGTACCAGTTGTCAGGCTTGTCAGTGCAAGTTTGGTTTGGGGTTTTTAAAAACAAGATTAAATTACAAACTTTAAAAACCATACAGCTGTGTGTGGCAACTTTATTTCAATAAAATAAAAACTTTGTTTTTACAGATGAAAAAGAGAGGTTTGACCCTACTCAGTTCCAGGACTGTATTATTCAAGGTTTAACTGAAACTGGCACTGACTTGGAGGCGGTAGCAAAGTTTCTTGATGCGTCTGGTGCAAAACTCGACTATCGCCGCTATGCAGAAACGCTTTTTGACATCCTGGTGGCTGGTGGAATGCTGGGTAAGTCCTGTTAGTAGGGCTGCTGTCAGCCTTTAGTCACTTGACTCTACAAAAGCTTGCTGTTTTTTTTTGTGTAAAAACTGCAAAAGAGCCTATTGAGCATGTAGAACAGGGTTTAAGTTATGTGTAGTAAACAATGATTGGCTGAGCAGTGAAGTTACTGTAGAAATACTCTGTATAACCTGACACATTTTTGCTTGTGTTGGTTTGCATTCTTCAAAGTGTGGATTTTACAGACTTGGATTAAAGGAAAATATGTTGTGTTTTGGGTTTGTGTTTTTTTAACTAGGAGTGGATCTTGACTCTGTAGTCAAGTTCACTACTGCTACTGAGATGATTGAATGCTTGTTCCAGGTCTGTGGTCTCAAGACCAACAGAGTTACCTGAAAGATTCTGGTACGCACCTGTGCTTTGTGCACCCTACCCTGTTATTATGGAAAGTAATATTGTTTACAGAAGAATCTGATGTGCTTAGTCTTGGAAATGCTATTATAAATTGCTTGTTGTCGACAACAGGGAGGTCATGGCCTCTAGCAAATGTCAGGGAGTAAGAAACTGAGAGTCAGCAGAAAACGCAGGGAGCTGAGGAAATTGAGATGTGATGACAAAGTCTTGTAAACTTGTGTACACTGTAAAGAGCAAAGAGTGGAGCAGGTGCTCAGCAACCAGGTAAAGAAGTAAATGAAGCTAAATGAGGTTGTAAAGTAGTAAAATAAAGTCGTACTTCTAGATTTTTGACTTTACGTTTCCTACTTGACTAAATACTGTGAAGAGGACCTTTTATGTTGTCTGCCTAAACTGGAAAAGGTCTGTCTCAGATTTTAGCATTTGTTATGCAGTAGTTGGGGGGCAGGACTTAAATGAGAAATTTGGCAGTTGCAGAAGATTTTTTTGAAATGTAATGGATATAGAATTCAAAGGATGTAAATGCGTATGGAGAGGAGAGGAAATAATCTGAATCTGGGCCGCTGTCAGACTCTGGATGGCAGTTCCGCAGTGGGGGTGGCTGGTTTGGGAGGATGCATCTGTTGAATGTTGAGGAGGTCTTCACAGTAGTACTGCAAAAATGTCAGGTGACTTGCTCAAACAAATGCTGAAAAAGCAAGACTTTCAGAATGGCTTAAGTTCATGTGCCTGCCTGTCTGAGCTGTGTATCAGAACAGTGTTTTGTAGACTGAAGTTACTGTGATGTTCCTTTGGGTAAGAGGCTCTTTGGCTGATGTTACAAGAGCTGGTAGTCTAAGTAAACTTGTCTGGAGCATTGCTAGGTGATTGTAACAAATTGTTACAATCTGTGGGTTTACGTTCAAGAGTCTTAACTTTGACATACGCATACTGTGTTAGGAAGTGTTTCTTCTAGGAATGAGGCTGAGAAAGGAGGGAAAAATGCATCGTGACATTAATATAGGCATCCTTTACTCAACTCCCTCTAGTCTAGAACAAGTAGGTAAGTAGAGTAGCTTTGATCTTTAGCCAGACAAGGCCAAAATAAAAACTGTCATCCTGTTGCCTTACTATCTTTTAATATTATTATCACGAATGCTTACCTCTGTCTTCAAGTCATGTTTCTGACTAATCCATAACAAAAGGATCTCCCCTTGTATGTGAGATAGCATAGAAATCAGTGATGAGGTATTTTGGCACTGTAATCAGTGACTTGAATTCTCTGTAGTTAGTGAAGCAGCCTGGCTACAATTCAAATGCCTGTATTAAATTGAAGAGGGATGGTGATGAAGCATCTTCTAATTAGCAGCTAAAAAGCTCAAGTGCCTTTCAAGACTAAAGTTTCAAGCCCCTTTCTGGGACACTGAATTCTGAATGTGCATCATGTTCCATCTCCTTTTGCTACTCATTTTATTTGCAAGACCCTTACAAAGCAGCACTATTGCAGCAGACATTAAAAAGACACTTGCTAGGATTAAGCAGCTTCAGTGGCTTCCTTTCAGGGAAAAGGAGGTCATATGAATTTACCCACATGTAAACAAGATGTATTGCCATTCCAGTTAGCAGTAGGGGGTTAGAATATTTAAATGTTTATATCGAAGCTACTGATTTTAAAGTTCCACTACAGTGGTGGAGCAGATGGAAAGGTAGCGGTGTCTTCAGTGATCCTGTCGTTCAGTCATCATGAAAGGACAATGCGTTCCATGTTAGGGGTGTTGGAATTCTTATTGTGGAGACTATTCAGTACTCTCACTGGGAAGTAGTACCACTAATGCCGAAACTCTTCTTTAGCCCCAGGTGGTACCCTGGCAGATGACATGACACGCACAAACGTCTGTGTATTTGCAGCACAGGAAGACCTAGAAACCATGCAAGCATTTGCTCAGGTTAGTGTTGTAATGAGTACAATTTAACTTAAACTGTTTAGTGGTCAAAAATGTAATCTTTGTGTAGTTGAAAGTTTAGGTAGAAATTAATGCATGGCTTTAAGAAGTGTACTGGAAGAGGTAGAGTAGCACTGTTCTAAGCTGCAAGTGCTCTAAGGAGTTCAGATCAACTTCACTGAATGTGTTATTTTTGAACTCAAATGGTAGTACAGAGCAAAAAATAACCACCTCTGTATCTCTTTAGGTTTTCAACAAGCTAATCAGGCGTTACAAGTACCTGGAGAAAGGCTTTGAAGATGAAGTCAAAAAGGTATGGAGCGTAGGTCCTTATTAGTAGACAACTCTACACGAGATGAGCTCTATAATGGATTATTAAAGTACAACAGTTGAAGTCTTCAGTAAAAGAACAGCTAGCTTGTATGACTAGGGGAGACTACCAGTGAACTGGTGCTTATGCTTGTTGAATACCTTGATTGAAACAAAAGCGTCCAACATGGAGGCCAGACTTTCCTAAGAGATGGTAGTTCTTTGGCAATTATTCTTACTTCCTCTTGCAGTTGCTTCTGTTCCTGAAAGGGTTCTCAGAGTCTGAGCGGAACAAACTGGCCATGTTGACGGGTATCCTGCTAGCCAACGGGACGCTTAATGCATCAATTCTCAACAGTCTTTACAATGAGAACTTGGTTAAAGAAGGTGAGTGTTGTCCAACTCCTCCTTTAGGGAAGGGTGGTGGGGGACAGAACCATGACACAGTTTCCACAGTAGGTGGAAATTGTGATGACAGTACACCCTGGCAGCTGACTAGCTTCATCTGGTGGTAGGTTTGCTGCCAAATTAGCAAAAGTAAACATGCTGCCTCACAACCTGGAAGGTCGTTAGAAGACTAGTCTTTTTGGAAAGCTGTGTAGGACTTCCCTACACGACACTGGGGGCTGCTGTTGCTGGTGTTGCCCAGCAAGGCAGCACTGTGTTTTGGAGAGGGACCTTTCTGGATGCAGAAGGTGTGTTGTCTTTAGGCTCCTTTCTAAACTGCAGCAAGGAGAGTTGAGTTTAGTACAGGGAAGCCTTTGTGATGCTGCGTGGTGAGAAAAGTCCAACATGTTGGAGGCTGCAGCCTCCTCAGGCAGAGGTACTGCAGCCACTGCTAGGGCAGCCTCTGAGCACAGCTGCTGCTTTGAGCAGGGGTCTGACCAAACTCAGTGCCCTATACTCTCCGGCCTTGTGATTCTCTTTGCTTTGAATTTCAATAACAATAGTACTGTTCCTACTGCACAGGTGTTTCTGCAGCTTTTGCAGTCAAGCTGTTCAAATCATGGATAAATGAGAAAGATATTAATGCAGTGGCTGTCAGTCTTCGTAAAGTAAACATGGATAACAGGCTGATGGTGAGTACCACTGAAATTACTGATTTACTACTTAAGCCAAGTTAGTAAATAGCATTTACCAGCAAAGTATTCAACACGTTTCTTTTGTGAAAGAGTTGTAAAACTTTGTTTTCAGGAACTCTTCCCAGCCAACAAACAAAGTGTTGAACACTTCTCCAAGTACTTCACTGAAGCAGGACTAAAAGAACTTTCCGAGTATGTTCGGAACCAGCAAACCATAGGAGCTCGGAAGGAGCTGCAGAAAGAGCTTCAGGAGCAGATGTCACGGGGAGATCCCTTCAAGGATGTAAGTATTTGGCTGTAGACAAGGTGGAGGTGCTTTTCTTTTTTTTCTTTCTTTTTTTCTGTAGGAGCTTAGCTCAAACTATCTGAAATGCAATAGCATTTAATACTAATTTGAAGAAGATATATGCCTAATTAAATACTAAATTTAAACACCTAGCTCTTGCTAGGATTAAAATTAGGACCAGGGTGTTCTGGTATTTGCTTCACTGTCTTTCCTTAATGTCCTGAATCCTGTTGTATGATCAAGGGGGTGATTTGTGGTTCTGAAGGTTTCCAGGTTACTTTTATAACAGAAATTTTAGTTTAGTTTCATATGTGGCCTGTGTGCTGACTCTCTTTATTCTAACTGGCAGATAATATTGTATGTGAAGGAAGAGATGAAGAAAAACAACATCTCAGAACAGACTGTGGTAGCCATAATCTGGTCAAGTGTAATGAGCACCGTGGAATGGAACAAAAAGGAGGAGCTGGTAGCAGAGCAAGCCATTAAGCATTTGAAGGTACTGTAACTGAAGTGTGGACTTTTGCACCCCTTCAGTAGGGTGCTTCCCTTTGTCTCTAGCTCCCTTTTAAATGACTTAAAACCTACAGCCCCCCTAATACAGGGAATCCTTCCCCTTGTAACAGTTGTATTATAGTCTTGAGTTACTGAGGCAAAAGCAGTGTGACTTCTGCAGAAGCACTTGCGGGGGTGGGTGGGGTGGTGTTGCAGATTTCTAAGCAGTGGTTGACAGAAACTGTGAAACCAGCCTAGTCAGGCAGTAAAATGCAATGTGCTCTGCATGTGCCAATTAGTTGTTCCTGTCACAGCAATACAGCCCTCTACTTGCTGCCTTTACTACCCAAGGTCAGTCAGAGCTGACTCTTCTGTTGAAGATTCAGGAGTATTGTTATGACAACATTCACTTCATGAAGGCCTTCCAGAAAATAGTGGTACTCTTCTATAAAGGTAACTTTGGGGGGGGTGTAGTTCTGGGGATGTGTGGGAGTTTGAGGAAGTTGGTTTTGGGTTGGTGGTTTGTTGGTTTTTTTTGTGTATTTTTTTTTTTTTTTTAAAGCTGGTATTCGCAGAATGCTTCAGTCCTGATAAGACCTTTACGGAAGATCAGTGCTATAACATTGCACTTCATAAGCTGAAGAACTGTCTATTTCTGTTTGCAAAGGTGGATGTGGCAGTCCTTGGCATGTGGGGAAGTATTCCTCTAGGCAAGGATACTGCCTGTCTGCTAGATTCTAAGAGTTGTGGTAGATCAAATCTAAATTTAGATTTTAAGGCTCTTTGGCCCTTTTAAGGTAGGGATAGGTGATTATTCTTCTTAGTTCTCTGTCTGAATAACTGAACAGCCAGAGATTGAGACCACCAAGGTGTTGTGGAGTGCTCCAGTCTCTCTGTTAATGGCTGTTGAAAGGTGTTACTGAAAAACATGTGGTGCACCCATGGGAACACGTTGTTAATCTGAAGATTATATTGTACTTGTAAAACTTAAAAAACAAACACTTCCTGTGAGGTACTTTGGGCTTTAAAGAATTTGCAGCTGTTCTGAGCTGTTGACCTGAAGCTTTCCTTGGTGTGTCATCCCAGATAGCTACGAAATACATGAGACTGTCAATGGGAGTGAAAGTGCAGCTCTGAGGTGCGTGCTCAGGAACCCCCAGCAGCCAATCTGAAATGGGTGGTTCTCAGAATACTGAGGAGGCCCAGGACAGGAGTGGGGGTTGTGCTGGGCCAGGGAGAAAGCAAAGGCTTCTTGGTCAGGGTCAGGAATTCTTGTCAGCTGGCATTCAGGTAATGCTGCTCTTGCACATCTTACAGCTGAAGTGCTGAGTGAAGAACCCATCCTGAAGTGGTATAAAGATGCACATCTTGCAAAAGGGAAGAGTGTTTTTCTGGAGCAAATGAAAAAATTTGTGGAATGGCTCAAGAATGCTGAAGAAGGTAACCAGCAGCTGGTTCATTTTGGGAAGCTTGGTGCACTGGTGCTTTGTTTTGGGTTGGGGAGGAGTGTTCATTGCCCTTGAGACTAAGTGTGCCCCCCCACCTGGTACTGTGTAGAAAAGTTTGCCAATGAGCCCCCCCGGGCATCCAGTAGCAACTGTTGGGCAGGGTGGGGGGCGTTCCCCACTGGCAGCCTGGTGATGAGGTCTTTCTGTTCTAGAGTCGGAGTCGGAAGCAGAAGAGGGTGACTGACCTGTGAACCCCTGTCCTCAGTAAAGCAAACAGGAGCTGTAGATAAGTGTCATGTCTCATGTGTCCTTCTGATTCTTACATCCTACCTCCCTGTATCAAGCATGATATAAGGGCTCTCATGGCAATTTATTTTAACTGTTTTCTATAGTTATTGAAATACTGGGTTTAGTTTTTAAAACCATGTTTTAAGTAGCTTACAGGAGCTATTCTAGATTTTACTCTAACCTGCATTTGTCCTTTCAGTTATATTCTACCTCCTGTATTTTCTACTGTAATAATGTAATTTAAGGCCTTCCACAATGAAATCCATTTTACCCCTTGGGTTTTCTATCTATATTTGAGGAGACATGATATGGTGAATGAAATTTCTGGCAGTTCTGTTTGCAAATTAAACTGTAAAAAAGCCTTGAAAGTGAAGAGGCCAGTGGCTTGTGTGGTAACTTGGTGTGATGCTAAAGTCCATTCCACTTTCTTCAGCTCCCCCCATTTAGTTCCTACCTGGCTGTCCATCTCCCCAGGGCTGCCTCCTCTCTGTACTAGCCCTTGAAAGCAATCTTCTAGCCCAGCTGCTGGGCATGGCACCTGCCTTGCTGTTGGGAGCTCCCTGTCCTGCTGGCAGGGGTGGTGGGGGGCAAAAAGCAGTACCTGCTGTGGGGTACAGGGAGTGGCACAGCAGAGGGTGGTGTCTGCCTTGTGGCCAGGTTGGGGTTTAGGGCTGTGGCACTTGTCTCCAAGCAGGGCCAAGAGGCCCTTACATTCTTCCCCAGGCTCTGGGAATAGTGACGACTGGAAAGGAAGGCAGACTAAACTCTAACCCTCCCCATGACATTTTGAAATCATTCTGTGCTGGCAGATGACATGTTAAACCAGTTTGTCTGCTCCCTAAAACTTTGAATTCTCAATGGAAATTCTCAGGACAGCTCAGAATTTGAGACAGATTTGGTAAAAAGAGTAGTCTATGCTATTGAAGGTAATAACATTAAGTGAAATACTGGTACGCTGAGTACACCTGATAAAGATTTAAAAAAAAAAGGTGATCGCAACACAATCTGTTCAATATTATGGTAACCTACCTTTGTAACTTTTTTTTTAAACAAATAAAGGACATCATTACATTTATGTCAAGTGCTGCCTCTGTTCTCTTACCCAAAAATGAAGCATCAGAGACGGAAAAGGGTAAAAATCAGTACTAGGCCTTAACTATTCTGGTGACAGCTGAAGACAACAATTAAAATAGTCCTTTCTTGCTGTTAGGAAGCCTAGTTTAGAGAGCAGGGGGTGACCTATTCCACGTGTTCAACGCGCAACTGGCCTGAGACTTTTATTCACCAAGAAAATGCAAGCGGGCTTGTCAGTATCTTTTCCTTAAGTTTTATGCCAGCGGTGGGATTAAACTTCAGTATCCAAAAAGCTGTAACACAAAAAAGGGCATCTACAAAATAACTATAGGCAATAAGTAATTTAATAATTTTTTTGTCTCTTTGGAGTGACATCAGCATCAGCCTTCTCAGCTACAGGAGGCAGCTTCCTTTTCTGCCGTTTCAAGGGTGAGAAAAAAGGATGTTTCAGTGCTTCCTCCAGAGTAATGCGCTTGGCTGGGTCGTACTCCAACATCTGGAGGAGGTCGAAGAGGTTTCTGTGGTCCAAATTCTGACAGGTCACGAATTCCTTCAGGAAGAAAACAACACAACATGGCGGTTTTTTTAATGTTGGAATTGTACTTAAAGCTCCTCTCCCTAAGTGCCTTTTCCCTCTGCCATCTCACCTTTAGGGGCTTACACCAACTTGGAACACATCTTCCAGCAAATCTGTGCCCATCCGAGTCCAGCCGGGCACGATGGAAATACCTGCGTTTCCTTAAACAAACAGACCAGGGCTTGTTATTCAAAGAC